ATGGCTGGATCATCTAGTTACAGATTCCTGGGAACAGCTGAGTTTGGGGGAAGCTACATTACTGTCCACAAATCTCGATCCACCCTCATTTCTTGAAATGTTTCTTCCAAGGAGCCAGACTTTCTTGGGATTTTTAAAGTGCTCTTGAGCAACAGTTCTCCAGGCTCCTGAAAGCCTTTTGTTATCCCAGGAATTAAGTTAAGTCACTTAATACTGACTTATGAATCATTCAAACATAAAAAGGCAACCAAGAACAAACAACAGACGTTCGCACATTACTGTATAAAGTATATGTAGTTTAGTGTCGCTCACCTTTAGCGTGGAAGGTCCACTCTGGTCGGTGGTACTCATGCAGGTGTACCCTCTCCTGCTGGCCCCCCTGGCACACCTGTTTGTAAAACTGCCTGGCGATGTGAGTGTACGCTGCAGGGATTGCTCCAGCGATGCCCTTGGCCCCAAAGAACCCGTTGACCTCGGGGGAGGCGGTGAGGATACGGTAACTGGCTCCAGCCTTGAGCACCAGCCGCATGTACGCCCGGGTCAGATTGAAGTAACCCGATGTGAGAAACACAGTAGACTCGGGTCCGGCATCGGTCAGCAGACGCTGGAGGGATGACGAGAGAAAGGAAGTGAAGAAAACCCCAATTTTCCTTTATTTTATTCAGCTGACTACATAGACAGTCTGTTAATGAGACGAAAACCTGGTTATCTTGTCATTTCCTTTCTTGTTTACTCTACAAACAATAATAATACAATAGTTAACTAACAGAGTCAATTCTTCAGGGAAGGCTTTCCACAAAGTTTAGGAGTTTAAGAGGTCTGACACTGACGTTGCCTCGCAGTCCCTGAAAGGTGTTCTGCCAGGGTGAGTTCAGGACTCTGGTGTGGAAGAAGTTGACTGGCCTGCACAAACTCACTGATCCATTTCTTTAATGACCTTTGGTTGGTGCACTGGTGCGCAGTCATGTTGGAACAGGAAGGCGCCATCCAACTGTTCCCACAAAATCACAGCAGCACGTTGGAATTCACTGAGCTCCTGAGAGAGACCAATTCTTCTACTCTTTGTAGAAGCAGCCTTCATGCCTAGGTGCTTGACTTCATACACCTGTGGCCATGAAAGTGACTGGAACAGCTGAATTCAATGATTTGGATGGATGAGTGAATACTTCTGGCAATAAAGATATCACGACATGAGGAGTGGCTCGAGACTTTTGCACAGTAGTGCATATTTTAGTTTATAACCTACCATAAAAACTTTGTACTGAAAATATGCAAACCGCTCATCCAAACAACCTCAAATTCAACACTGCACTTTCTCAGCTTTCCATCAATACACCCATTACGCCTGAAGTGTATCGGGCTGACAGACAATGATTTCTCTAATTATTCGTAGAATGAAATTCATTTTTATTGCTGGTAATGGATTCATAATGTCAGGAACCTGATAAGAGTTTCCTTATTGTTCAGCTCTGACTTAATTATTACTTACATTTATTGGTGGCTAAATTACAGTATATTGCGCTAGCAATCATTTTATTATATTTATTCCCAGAATATGTGACTCTGAAACAAATAATTATCCTTGATTTATGGTTTAGTAGTCATGTATCATTTTATTAGTCATCTGCACAAAACATGTAATGAGTGAAGGGTTCATCCACGCTCACAATGGCCCTTTGGGTGGTGTCTAAATATAATCACCGTTTACAGAAACAAGCAATGAGTCAGGTAATTACAATGACAGAAATCTGCATTTATTTATTTTATTTCAGACCACGCGATAACCAAAAATGGCTTCAATTCCTGAAGAATTGAAGCCGTAAAAAGCAAAAAAGTTCATTTTAACTACAGATGTACAGATCAGATGCGGTGTTGAGGCTCACCTGTGTGACCTGCTCGTCCACTCTGATGCCAAGAGGTTTCATCTGCACCAGGGGGAACACCCAGGTGTCCTCCTCCACCTCGCTCATCCCCTCATCCTCAGAGTCCTCCGACTGGTTCAGAAGCCGCTGCCTAATATGGGCCGAGTTTACAACCTCCATAATCCGCTTCCTCGCCACTGCCGAGAAGTCTTGCCGGTTGCCTAGTTGCCATAGAGATACAGTAGGAGTGAGTGTGGAGCTAGAGGACTGCAAGTGGGAGACGGGTCAGCCTGATCTCTGGGTCACAGTGTTCTCGGTCATGTGGTCGTGGTACTCATGTTGTAGGGGAATAGAGTCAGTTATACAGTGACACTGTGATACAGCAGCAACCTTTCTGAATGACAATTTTTCACGAATAACATTTAAAAAATGCTTAAGGTTGGATCAGGGATATCAAACTCACTTTACATCATGGGTCACATACAGCTTTGTCTTTAAGTGGGCCAGAAAGGTGAAAATCCCTTTTCCGTCAATGTAAAGTAGTTTAACTGCACATTTAATCCCTGCGAATCCTCAATGCAAGAAAAAGAAGTGCGATATCATGAGTATGTCTGTGTAGGTTCTCAGTTATCCAGGTCATGACAGTCTAAGAAGCTTAGAAAGAAAGCGAGTGGACTTTTTAGACGTTTCATGAAGATGTTTCACCTCATATCCGAGAAGCTTCTTTGTATTTAAGCCCGAGTGGGAGTTGTCCCTTAAGATTACAGATGGATTAAAGAAAGGAGTAAAAGCCATCTATGTCCACTGTGAACGACCATCTTTGAACAGATGAGGTGGCTTACGACAACAACTCTCTGCCACATACTTTTAAGATCCCTTCCCAGGCGCCTCAACCCCCACTCACGTCAGGTCACTTGATAGGGTGAAGCAAGGCCTCACAATGGTTTCAGCTGAAACCTCTGCTAATAACAGCCCACGCTTTTTGTCACACCTTGGCTCATGTCGTGAGGCACATGATTAATAGAGGGTCATAAAAACTCCCACTAGGGATTAAATACCTGGGATTCTCCCGCATTTGGTTTTAGAACCTTCTAAAGCTTCTCAAAGGATAGGTGAAATGTCCAGTCACTTTCTTTCTAAGCTCCTTAAATTTCAGGAGTGCATCTCAGTTTTTCTGCACGATAAAGAAGTGCTCCTGCAATTAATGAAAGAAATCTGTCAGCACGACTCTTTAGGCTTAAATTGTAAATAATAAATATTTAAAATTAGAGAAAAGGTTCTGTCAGCTCATTGCCCAGACTGAATTATAAATTTAGAAACTTTTTGTTAACTCAGAGAAAAGCTGCTATTTTATTTATTTATATATTTTTACTGTGGACACTAGGGCTGTGCGATATGACCAAAATCTCATATCCCGATATAATTCTATCGTCCGATAACGATATAAATCACAAAAATGTAACATTTTCTGTAAATTCTGTGAATCTCGGGCAGCTCGTCTTGCGGGAAGTGACTCCAGCTACATGACGCGTAGCTGGAGTCGAGTGTTTTAACCGATGCATGAAACGATACACTTTTAGACATAAGTTGTAAAGGCCACAGTTTTCTTTGTGAGTAATTATTACACGGCGTGCTGCGGGAAAAAGCCTGTTCTAACATTTGAGTCTAAGGTTTATTTTTTAGCACCTGGCGGCTCTTTTTTACTTCTCATCTGTAAATAATCTGCTCTTTCACGTGATTCAGTTTATTTTGAAAAGTCTCAACAGGATCTTGAGCTTTATTGTGAAAGGTTATGTGGAACATAAACAAGCAGACACGCGATGCTGTTACCGCCGTGGTTGCTAACCACAACCGATAAAAACAGGTGCTTGTCCGTCTGTAGTGTGGTTATATAAAATATAAGAGAAAGAGAGAACTTTAAGAAATTAATATAGCCACTACAGTGACCGTCAAAACGATGAAAAAAATATTTTGCCGTAAACAGTTTATTTTGCGACACCACGAAACAAACAATAGCGTAAAATGAAACGATAGACGTTTTTATATTGTCATCCGATATATATCGTTATATTGAACAACCCTAGTGGACACAATCTAAAAAAACACATCTGTTGTTTTTGCCAGGCCAATTCTGGCCCCTGGTTTAAATAAACACTGCGGAAGGAGTTAAAAATGATGGCTATATTCATGCTAAGTATTCAAAATCGAGTAGGCAGAGCTTCCAGCTACGCCACATTATCAGCAATCCCAACCTTTTAAAATGGATTCACAGTCGTGAACGGCACAAAACATTGGAGACATCACCCATCGGTTTGTGACGATCTCTGTTTGCCAAGATTGGGGCCGAGCGTTGTTTTCCTGTAAAACCTTTCTGGAACCAAAATGATCGCCACCCAGTGATCATTTAAAAAAAATTCAAATTTAAGTCACTTCACTTTTCGCACTCGAAAGTCCATCTTTTATACCATTTAGGTTTCCTGCATTAAATTTACAGCACAGGCATGGAGCTCCAAACCGACATCCACCTAAAAGAAGATTTAAACTCGCCTACATCTTTCCAGCTCTCTGATATGAGACACTGAAATGGATTTCATTAAAACTGAGTTAAATCACAGCACTCATTTCAGTCTCTTGCCTACAGAGTCGTTAGCTTAACTCTGACACTTTTTTAATTTTGAGGGCTGCATTCCATTTTAGGACATCAGGGGAGGACTGAGATCGTGGCCAGTTCACAGAGCAAAATGACACAACGTGTCCAAACATTGAAGCTTTGCACTTCCTCTCTAAAAGCTTGCACTGCAACCATAACACTGCAAAACCTGAGCTTTTTTAATGATCCATTTGGACCATGTTCACATTGTTCTTACGGTTTTATACTATTTTTTTTTAATTGTACTATTTGTATGATCATTTTTATTATTTTACAGGGAGATTGTTTATATCAGAGAATTTGCAGATTTAATTTCGTTTATAAATTTATTTATTTATTTATGTATATATTTGGGAGGTACTCAGAGTAAAGGAGCCATTTAACGAGGCTTGAGGATCTGACTGAGATGCCTCTTGGACAAGGTGTCCTAAGCATGTCCCCGGAAGGCCCCAGGGTAGACCTGGGACATATTGGAGAGGTTATGCCTGTCGGCTGGCCTGGGAACTCCTCTGAGTTCCCCTGGATGAGCTGGAGGAGGTCTCGAGGTCTTTGCTTAGGCTGCTACTCCCCTGACGCGGATAGAAAAAGGATGGATGTATGGCTGCACCTCGCAGAAAAAGTTGCTAAAAGTCACAGGCACACAGCTGTCCCTGAAGAAGAACCTGCTATTTAAAACCATTTATGGGCAGCCAATCAGAAGAGAGCTTGTTTCAGATAGAGGATGAACTGAGGGGCAGCACTCAGTGTGAGTACTTTGAACTGTGAATCATGCAAAGTTACTCTAGTACAAGGATAAAATTATGGAGCAGGAAATTAATGTAATAGGCCCCCTTTTTGGAGTTCCTTATATCAACAACCACACTCGTGTCAACACATTAGCTGGAAAGCTCCTGCAGTCTGTTTGTGCCATTCCTCTGATAACACCAAATGCATGTTGCTCATCCTTGTGTTAGGACAGATGACCCTACAGGTGAGCAACCTGCATGACGTGAGCCTTTAAACAGTCTTTAAATCATCAGTTATCACCTTCTGCCTGCAGACAAACGCACTTTTTCTTTTAACGCCATTCTTACGATCAATAACAAATCTCATCAGTCATCTTCACAAATGTCTTTCACTAGAATTTCTCCAGCGTCTGTGTGTGTGTGTGTGTGCGCGCGCGCACGTGCATGTTTGTGAATTAATTATGTGTGTGTATCAGTTCCCATTTCATATCTTCTTCCAGCAACACTGTGACATCACAACTCTATTCCTGGTGTTCGTTTCCATGGCGGTCCAGTCCTGCAGACATGATGTCATTCATCCCTCAAACGAACATCCTGGCAGCCTGCACTCCAGTTACGGACACACTGTACAAATATGTGTGCGTGTGCATGTGCGTGTGCGTGTGGACAAAACCCTGACAGTTTCACATCCGGCTCCATGGCTAGCCAACCGCAAGAGCTCGCTCTACATCTTCCTCACTGTACTCTCACAGAGCTCTCCTCCCTGGCCTGCATCTGGCTTGTCTAAGCTTTCAAGCTCCATTAGCAAACTCCTGGAGTTGAAAACAGGCTGCAAGTGAGCATGGAGTGTCACATGCTGTCAAAACATGCTGAGGGTAAACATCTGTCTCTGTGCACAGGCCAGGGATACAGGAGTGTTCGGTTTCTACCTTTGTACGGGTGCACCATGTCCTCGAGCATGGTGACCGAGTCGTCGGGCTGGAGCTGCAGGGAGACGTCTCCCACGGCCTCCACCAGGTCGGAGAAGAAGTCGGCAACCTCCCTGCAGTTCTCCAGCAGCACGTACCGGTCCTGTCTGTTGGTGAAGTACGAGTCGCTCAGGTTGGCCCTGAAACACAAGATCCGGGAAAAGTAAGAGTAGAGGAGGAGGAATAAGGAAGCTAGTGCAGGGGTGGGGGATCTTATTGAAATGTCGTCATATGAATATTTTTCTGAAACTGTGTTTATTCAAGAGGAAGGGTGTTGCCATTCAAGTGAAATCAACATATCAATTATCATGTACTCACGAAAGGAAACTGAGACAAAAGCCTCTAAAGCTGCGTATTCTTCTTAGTTTTTAACTTTTTTTAAAAAGAGGTGGCAGACACAGCCTTAACGGGGGATCCAATTCATTTCATATGGTACCCAATTCAAAATAATCCTCGATTATTCTGTACCAGGCTTTGGAGCAGCCAATCATAAAGCCATTTTAGCCCTCTCCACCCATGCCTTTAGCCAACGGTTTGTAAGTTGAGCTGAGTCACACAGCTGCTTATTCACAACATCTCCCGGTTCTGATAAAAGGATGCAACAGTACCGGTGCGGCTTTATGAGTTATTAACACAGGATTAACTGTGACAGCCCAACATGTCGTTAATCTTCAGTAAAAGTTTTTCGTGGGCCCAACTTAACCTGCAGGAGCATCTTGTGGAACATGCTTTGCTGCCAAGGAGGAAATGAACAGATCGCTTGTTAGAATGAACACAAAGCATGTCACGACTTCTTTAATGCACCAACACTGGCGCAGTGCCAACGTCCTCCATAAATTTATTGGAAATTTTCTGCATAGTTATTGTGAAATGGGAAACACATCTTCCTATTTCCAGTAAAACTTTAGGGACTCTGAACAAGATCACACACGACAGACAGGAGATAGGAGAAGGGCAGGTTCAAATATATGAAACTGCCAAAACGTCTTATATCCCATCAAGATGAGGTGCCTAGAAAGAGACAGGCCCTCAGGGTCAAGACTCGTCAGAGACTAATACTTTGAAACATTCCTCAGGATTTAAGTGGAAATATCTTCAAAGGTCATCATCATGAAAGGGGCAAGGATTCTTGTTTTAAAGAAGTGAGAAACTTCTATCAGAAATAAATGCCAAACACCTTGAAATGTGTCTGAAATCAACAGGTTATAACGACTTAAATTATTATTTTTTTTAAAAAGAAGAAGAAAAAAAAAGACCTGCATCAAGATTCACCTGCGTGGTAACAAAACGCATCAGTCGCAGCTGTAAATATGTTTTAGTCGGTTTACATGGTGGAAGTAAAGAACGGCACTTTGCGTATCCTTTGTTTGTTTTAATGTTATGTTTCCAAAGTCCCAGCGATGTTGATTCTCCATTTCACAGCCGTAAGTTGCATCTGCATGTACTGAAATATGACTACATTACAAACTTATCCTGACAGAGTGCATCCCAGACAAAAGATGAGCCTTGGTAACAAAACGTAGCTATAAAGGAGCCCTGTCATATGCAGCTACTTGTCTTGTTTAGCCAACGTTAAACTGGTGCAGCAGATTATAAAGCTAAGACATCTGTGTTAACCCACACACACACACACGATTCATTTTTGTACTTAACAACAACAAAAAATGAGTGCACTGTACATACAGCACTGTGCAAAGGCTTTAGGCCACCACCCATTTCTTTATATTTTAATAGGAAAACAGCAGAGTGATTTAGTCAGTAGTCAGTACCTGTCACCCTCTGTTCATCTTTGGCTTTTTCCTTGATTCAGCTTAAAAAAAAATATTGGAGCAGTTATGGGTTTTTTTGAGTTTTTTTGCAAACAGGCTGCTAGTAACCAAGTGCTTAAATATACAATTTAAAATTTGTTCTTTGCTGTGGTTATGTTTAGACAAAACTGGTTCCTCTCTGTTGAGCAAGGGCCATGTTTATCCTTGAAAGACTAAGGATCGGTGTGAAAATGTCTTAACAAACAAAAACAAAGTTCAGTTATTGTTATTCTATCTGTCTAAAGTATGTAACTGACTTAATTTTCCTGGAATGACTTAAGTGAAGGTAGTAAGGCACTGACAGGCAGTGCACCAAACCAACACGTCTTGCTTTCCAGTCATAATTGGCAAACAGTCACAGTTGCTGTTGGTAACTAAAAGGAAACTAAAAATTAAACCGGGGTTAAAAAAATGACTCAGTTGAAACAAAAACATGTTTTTTTATTAAATTATCTGCTTTTAACATATGCCTGTAGTTACACATTTAGTGTGAGGAGGCTTTGGCACAGACACTGGAAGGTCATGACTGTGAGTCAACTCCCAGCAAGTATGTCCTCTAGCACTGATTCTGATATTATTATTATTATTGACCTCACCAAATGCATATTAAAACCCCTACTTTAGTTTTTTAATCTAGTTTTTACTTACTAAGAAAAACTAAACTAAAGGAAAAAAAAATAATAGTAAAAAAATTCCAAAGTATTGCAACCCTGCATATTAATACATTAGTTAACATTATGCGGCTGTGTTTACAATGATGCACAAAGGAGGACAACCTTGGATTTTTTAGAACAAAGGGCATCGGGACCCCTTGCTCTCCCTGTTCCTCCTGCACACTAATGCATTACCGTTTTGAGGGTATCATCAAAGTAACTGTAATATTTTCACCAATTTGGCAGAATAAGGTCAGCGTGCCATTTTATGTTCTGAAGAGAAATGGACTGGAAACCACAGCAGCACTGTGCCCACTGGCTGTGGAGCAGCTCCCACTGAGCTCCGTTTTCCCCGAATACTGCACGTCAAAACAAGCACTGAAAACATTTTTAAGCTAATCCAGTAAGCACCTGCAGCTTGTGAAAACAGACAGTTGCCTGGAGGTGGGACAACTTTATTTTAAACTTCACTCTGAATTCAAACAGACACACAGGGAGTGTGGAAAAAGGTCATACTGGCACCAACATACCCACTGATGATGATGCTGTCATCAAACAGGTAGACTTTGATGTGCTGGACTCCGATGGTCTCGTTGAAGCGCTGGGGGACTAGCAAGCGCAGCAGCCCCCTCAAATCTGGAGTGTGGTACAGAGATACCCTCATCTGAGATGTGAAGCGCTGCAGCAGAGGTAGCAGCATGGTCCTTGAGTTAATCTTTCCTGCACGTGAAACACAAGTCACACAAATACAATCAGGATGATGAGCGGGGAGTTCTGTGCTAACCAGGTGCAGGAAACCGCTAACAACCTCGTGATCCGCGTGTGTAGTCAAGCAATACGGAGACTTTCAGGTCTGGAGACTGG